GCCCCAGCCACATCGCGGCGGGCCCTGGGGCCGACCCGGAGGCTCGGCCCGGCTCGGCTCGGCCCGGCCGCACGGCGCAGGGCGGCGCAAGGGAAGCCGCCGGGCCGCGGCGCGCCGCAGGGTCACGGCGCCCACAGCGACCCCTGGCGGCCCGGCGCCCTCACGGCAGCGGGGCGGCGCCGCGACTCCGTAGAGAGGAGATGGCGAGTTCGAGTCCCTCTCGCGGACTGTCTGCGTTCTGATTCTCATTAAGCCCTGGGATGATTTGTCTTCTGTGCTGAGGCAGTGCTCTAATTCCGGTTGGAGCTTTTTGTGCACCGCTGTAATACAAATAGGTACGGGCTGGCAGAGCTGTAAGGCCCTACCTTCATCGTGGTTGCATGGCTTCCTTCCCAGCACTGTGTGGGCTGCAGCAGGTGGAAAGCAGGGAACGGAGGAGAGCTTCTGCTTGCTGTGTCATCTTTTAGGCAGCCAACGCCTTGGGAACAACGCATTGTTGTTTCCTATGTATTAATGGACCACAGCCTGAGACTTCCAGGCACTGATTACAGCAAAATAAAGCAATGTTTTCTATGCAGTAGGGAAAGAAAAAAAAAGCTCTGGAAAGGGACCTTTTAACAGTGCGCCACAGAGCCCGCAGAGCACAGCTCAGCCACCTGCAGTTAAAGACACCAAGATCACAAAACGTGCTCTTTCAAATTGCTTTTTATTGAAATGTAGTACATTAGCAAACCCTAATAGGTATACACTATTAACATATTGGCATATACCACGTAACTACAATACAGTGTTATACTTACATCGAAATAGGTCAGGGAGTTCCAAGTGAGCCTCCCGAGGGCCGGAGCGACGCGCCGAGCGCTCACCCTGCAGCGACCAGCCCAGCATGCTGTTTTTTTTGCACACACACCAGTGGTGTTTGTAGTTTTGTTCCCCATTTGCTGCTATGCCCCAAGTCCCAAAGGCAGCCCTGGATTTCTCTGCCCTGTTCTGGTGGATGCAGTGCATAGATGGAGCTGTGGCCACAAGAAGGTGCTGCTGGGGAGGGCTGTGCCTTTGGGCTGTGAAATCCCCCCTCCGCCCCAGTTACACCTCAGATTTGCAGTGAAATCACTCTGAACAGCTCTAACTTTTAACAAAACCCTACGCACTCCTTGCTTTGCAGGAATATTAATGCTTAGTTATTAAGCTTTGGGGGGCTATTTGGGGGCAACACTTTATGCCAAGGGTCCCCCAACACCTGGAGACAGCAGGCATTACTGTACAAAGAACAAACAGGCAGCCCTCAGCACAAGCACTCAGCTCCATGCTGGTTGTGCCAAACGTGCCGCTGAGCAGCAGCCCCCACCCCATGCAGCCCCCCCCTGCCCGTTCTGGGGGTGAGTCCAACAAGTGCAGGCATCACACTTTCTTTGATTATTTCCAAGGTATTTCCAAGCAGCTTTCTCCTGATTTTCCCCCAGTGCAGGTAGCTGGAGCATCTCTCAGCCCTCCCCTGCTCTGCCCTTACAGCAGAAAAAAGGAAAAGGAGCGATGAGATTTTTAAATATAACAACACGTAAGCAAGCTGTCACAGCATGGCACACGCTCTTCTCCATGGCTAAGGCTGGAAAATGAGGCCACGCATGGATGTGCAGGAGGGAGGATAAGGAGCAGAGCATTGCCTGCCAGCCTTGGAGTGATGGGGACATCAGGGCTGGGAGCAGCACCGCAGCCCCACCTTTGAGCCGTGCAACTTCCCTTGTTGTAAAACCAGATGATTATTAGCAGAGCAAAAACATAGATGTGTTTTAACAGTTCAGTCAATGCGCCCTCCAGGAAGCACAGCCCTGTAAGTCAGCTCAGCCCTGCTGCCCCATCCTTCGTATCCAAACAAAACTGATGTGCAGAAATCCCATAGGAGAGTACTAAACACATGTATTTAACTACTTGTCTTTCTTTGGCTTATGTAGGATATCTGGCTATTCCTAAATCGCCCTCACATGCCAAGGCAAGCATCCTAGAAGCAATGGGGCAGTGCAAACAGGCACCAACAAGTGAGCTTACATAGGGAGCACTCATGAGTGGCATTAAGTAAATTTTAACATGCTTCAAATGTAATATTTCATGTTAGTACTATAGGTAAAAAGCACACTTACAGTCTGTTTTTTACTGGCAGTTATCCTCTAAGAACACAAACCTCAATTTTACAAATGTCTTATGGGAACATGCAGAACTTTCAAAAACAGGAGACGTGGAAAAGGGAAAGGGATGGTGGAGCAGCGCGTTTAGATCGCTTAGAGAAACATAAAAGGGCTCTTTTTCTGTAGGTAGAATTCATAAAATTGATGCTTTCTGATAAAAAAACACTTTTGTTTTCGAAACGTAGAAAATCATTTCCCAAGTTACTGACACCACAGCTGCGGGTAGACTGCCATCTACCTTACATCTATGAAATGACCACACACAGCACCACCACAGTAGGACAAGAACAACGATGCTCATCAAGCATTTTTTTTTTTCAAATATACTGATTAATATGAAAAGGAACATCTCAAACTTACCAGCACAGCCCAGAAAAATCACCCATGCTGCTGTGCTGCCTCTTTCCCATCCTAAATACAATACAGTACACAAGTGCCTGGCATGGCACGTCCCAGCACGCACATAGGGATCGGTTGCTTCAACCAGACATAATGTTTCCAGTGTTGCAAGACCTTCCAAACCCACAACGTCCATTGCACAACCGTCAGCCCCAGCTGCCTCTCAGAGAAACACTAAGGCTGGAAAAGATCAGCTAGTCAACCCAAAGGTGGGACCTCTCCTCACCATGTCAGACCCCAGCCAGCACCATCGGAGACAGCTCTTGTTCCCCGCTCCTCTGAAAAGGTAGTTTAGAAGTAGGGAGATTTAACCAAATACAATGGCATTATTTATTCATTTGCCATTTAGGGCTCTGTAGTCGCTAATGCTCGTTTTAATTTCCATCTGCTTTTGAGCTGTCCTCCTCTACTCTGGCACAAAGCTGACTGCTTTGTTCAAAACAAAACCCAACCCTGCACTGAGGAAGCCAAGCACAACAGGAAGCAGTGCGGGGAACTTCCTGACGCAGCCCCAGCGCCGGAGGTGACGGAGCCGTGCCCAGGCACAGGGCAGTGCCCAGGGGTGCCCAGCACACAGCACGTCCCAAGCGGCCAGCAGGGCTCCAACAGCCTGCTCTGCACACTGCCTTGCTGGTGTTAATGCCAGAACTGTGGCCACTCTGCTCTGTGGCACAAGGCACCTCTTGGGTGCTTCTGCGTAGGGAAAATGCACCACGGTGAGCATTCCATCCCATCCCACCCACCCACCCTGGCAGCTCCAGCAGGAGCCACAATGCCTCACTCTGTTTAACTACAAACACCCGAGCACAGCTTTTTGCAACCCGACTACTCAACACTGACAAAAACAAGCCCTAAGACACCCTGCAGCAATGGTGTTTCACTTCCGGATGTCTCTGTTCGGAAGCGCCCTGCCCTCTGCCTGGAAGATGTGATGATGAAGTCAGGGTTGCTCAACCTGCACCCCATCCCCGTGCACACAGCTGCCACGTGGAGCAGCAAAGCAATGCCTGCAGCCAAACAACCCACTCCGTCCCAGCAAAGGGGCTCCACATCCTCACCACTTGGTTGGGGAAGGTGGCATTGAAGTTGTGCTCTTGAAAAGCCAGGGGTGTAAGCAGGCCTCTAAAGTTGGCTGGATTGCAATAAAAGTGCATAGGGTAAATGGAAATGGTATTACGAGAAAAATCTCTCTAACCTTCACACCACCCATCCTTGAATTACCAGGTTAAATGAAGCTGACACACAGCAACAGAACATACTCTGTGAATAGGATCGTTTCCTCATTTTGCAGAGCAGGGTTTTTCTTTTTCTCTTAAACGTCTGTGTTAAAGACACAGCTGAGCCACGCTTCAGGTAAGGATGCACGTCAGCAGACCACTGTACAGTCTAAATTAAAAAACGAGCAGGGGAACTTTTGTAGCAAAATCTGACAAAATTAAAGCATGGCAGTAAATGCTTTACCTACCTTTCTTTTAGACTTACAGATTTCTCAGTTTCCTATACAGAGCGAAGCTGTGTTTCACCTTACAAGGACACAAACGCATTTCTACATCTACAGTAACTGAGACTGCAATGGAGAAAATGTTAATGTTCAAACAGCTCTGCATTGTCCAGGAGGAAACAGAGCAGGAGTCCTCACTCTCCACGTCTGCTCATGTGAGGAGCTCTATGGATGGCTGAACTCAGCTTTCCATCTCCATGTTATACATTCAGAAGCTTGAAACCAATCTCTATTTCCCCACTGCTTCTGGCATGCTCCAGTAAAAATGGATTTTTCATGCTGAGTCCCAAAGCAGTCGCTGCTTTCCTTTATTCCTCTGCTTTCTGCATTCACGTATTGATGTCAGTGGGAAAGGGCATGGCCTGGAGAACGCGTTTGTTGGTTAACCGTTGCAGATCTCAACGTGAGAACAGGATAAGAAGCTTACCTCTCTTCTTTTCTCTGTGTAACGCCAACATGCTGGCTTTTAAAAAACCTCCGTGAAAAATTTGGTGGATTTTTTTTAAACCCCTCCAAAAAGAAAAGTAAAGCAAGAAAGAAAGCTAATTAGATTCCTGCATATTTCAAAAAGTCTAATGGTTTTAAGGTAGATCAAGTGCTGGTTCGGTGAACGTCCTCTCTGTAGAAAGAGACTCACGTGACTGGAGCACACGGAAGGACCAAAAATGTATTCTGTGGAGGCCACTTTTCTCCTGCTTCAGTAGAAATGGAGAAAAAAAAACACAAATGGAAGCATCAAGTTCCTTGAAATCTTTCTGCAAACACAGGGCCTCTCTGCTGCACAACATCAGACCGGCGTGCTGCCGCCCAGGGGTGAGCAGGTCGTTGGAAACTCAACGCACTTGGAAGGTCCCTCTTGGAAGGGGATATTTCACAGTAAGGTTATGGGTTGACCAAGCTATATGGAGTGCTTTTACCAGTCACCGGCCAGCTCCTTTGCAACTAGTTCCCTTTCTGACTCTGCCCAGCAATTTGGACCATTAAAACCAGCATACCCCTGTTGAGGAGATGCATTTGCAGTACAAAACAAACTCTTAGGACCACCGCAAAGCCTCTTCCGCACCGCCGAGGCCGGGCCCACACAGCTCCCATGCTGTTACTCAGCAACTTCCATCAGACAACCTTGCTTGCGCTCGGAGGTGCCACCCGCAGAAACCACCACAGCTGTCTTCATCTCCGTGACCTAGAAGGCAGGCTCGTGTTCTGGAAAAAGCAGCTCTTCTTCAGACAAAGGAGATCCATGGAAAGAGTACACAACAATAGGAATGAGAAATGAAAACAACAGAAAGAGGGCCAGGAAGGAATGTGCATTCCTTTCAGGTTTTGTTCTCGTCATACATGTCCAAAGCAGGCTCGATGGTGGAGAATTCACTCTCGTAGACCAGACTTCGAGGGGACAGAGAATTGCGATGAAAGAAGTGACTGCCTACAAGAGGAAGAACAAAACCTGGTTAGGGACACACGTAAGAACCAAGCAAAGCATCCTTGTGTGTGAGTTCTGATTGCAAACATGGAATGTGTATAGACAACACAAACCCTTCTCAACACAAACCAACAGCTGTGTAGGGTGGGTAGCAAAGGAGAGATCACAGCCTGCAAGTTCTCACCATGCAGAAAAATTAGTATTGACATTGGTACCACCAGTCACTGAGGTGCAAAGTCTGCTGGTAAGGCCAGGCCCACTGCTGCCTCCTGTCACATCCCTGCTCTGGGTGACAGGAATCAGCTGCCATAGATCCGGATGAAGCCACACGTTGCCTTATTCCATAGATTAAACACGTTCCATCCACTGTGCAATGCTGAAGGCCTGGCCGTGGGGCTGGAGGTCCTACAAGCCCACTGGGCCTGGTGCCGAGGTGCACCTCACCTTTGTCCAGGTATCTCTGCAACATGAAGCTGACATTTCAGACCCCCACCCATCACATCTGGAGGTGCTGCAGGGCTTTGCCTCCATCCACGTGCTGCTTCCAAGCACTGCTTTTCATATGCATGAGCAACCCTGCTGCCAGCAGTGCTCCCAGATAACACAGGTCAAGTCTGAGCAAGGCTGGGGCAAGCCTGAGTTTTGCACTGCGCCTTGCTTTTGGTTTACAGCTTCACAGAACCAGAAACCTTTGCTAGGTGCCCTGTGTCCTGCGCTGTGCATGGCAGCAATCTTATGGAAAGAGGCACCAACACATTTTCTTACAAAGAACCATGAAGACCCAGCCCTCTTCTCCAAATGCTGGCAACAGTGGCAATACTTGAAGCCAGCACACATCGTTGCTGACAGAAGCTGGCTCTTCAAGTCCACAGATGTATTTCGTGAGGAGCCAGCCTGCTGGTGTACACAAGGTTCCCTCTGGAAACATCTATCAGATCAGGCCCTCGGCCAAGATATGAAATTACCTGGTTTCTCGATCCCAGCAGGGATTAGCTGGGAGCAAGGCTGCTTAGATTACAATACACCCAGCACCCACGTGAGCCAAACTCAAGGTAACTGAAGAGCTTCCAAGATTATCAAGGAGGCACTCGGCAAACTGAGATGCCTCCACCTTCAGGCATCAGTGAAGCAAGAAGCTTAGGGGATTGCAGATTCTGTTCTGGCAGAAATTAAGTGCTTAACTCGTCCTTTCTCTGCCAAATTCTGGGTCCAGCCCATGCCATTCTACAATAAAGAGCCTACAATAAAGAGTAATATTCAGATACCGCTGTTCTCAACAGCTCTTCCTTCTTTCCCACTCACCGTAAAGACGACAAAGTCATTACTCCACCATTCTCACTCAGAATCAAAACTCTCAGAAGTAAATGAATTCATTTTTGATCGCACAGTTTACTGAAACAAGCGCTCACATTGCGTAAGAGCACACGCGCAGGTGTTTGTAAGAAGTGTGCGCATACTTTGCAGAAGTGCACATCAGGGCATCACCAAAACCCACCTTCTAGATCTGAAACGTGTCCCAAAAGTTAAAGATTTCAATTGGACGGTGCTTAAATGGAAAAAATCAAAAGTGTTCTTTGTTTTGGCTTTTTTAATGAAACAATGACCTCCAGATGGTTCGGTCTCTTCAAAACAAACAAACAACAAGCCAACCTACTGTGGAATTGCAGCAGATAAAACTGATTCTGAGATTCTTCTGCTCTGTGTCACAGGCAAGGATCATCTAATTTGTGATGGCCGGGTCTCTGCTCGCTGTTGAAATAAACCCTGGGTATTGCTTGTTTCATTCCCCCTTTTCTCCACCCGCTGAAACCTTACACACTGAACAGCCAACGCTGAAGCAAAACAAAAGGGGTTCTGAAAGCTGGGCGCTGCTTTTGTTTTCACTACGCAGAAATCAAACAACGGATTAGGAAGCAGGCGGCCGCGCAGCCATTTCCTCTGCATGGGGACACTTCCACTCCAACTGCTTCACGGGTGAGCTTTCACCAACAGGCAGGCAGGACATCTGACAACTGAAAAATTCATCCGAAAAGGGCTCATCCAACACCTCTGAAATCCCTTACTGTGATGCTTTCTTGCTTCTTGGCAACAGAATTGTAACCTACCCACTTCCAGGAGGCTGCACACAGACCCAGACTACTCTGCTTTCATACCGCATATGGGACACATCATTCAGCCTTTCTCCAAATGTGTCTCTCCCCATTATTTTTTGTTCCATGTAATTTTTTCACCAGGATTACAGGCATGCTCGACCACACCTCTAAACCCTTTAAAGAAAAAAGAAAGCATGTAATCTACCTACCTGTAGATGAAAGACATTGAAACAGAACATCTCTCTGCTCAGTTTGCTAAATCAGATCTATTTTTCTTACTGCTTAAGTCAGATTGTGACCGGCTCCTCCAGACCTCACCAGCTATATGTGGCCAACCCACTACACACAGGGCTGTGTTCCCATACAATGCTTCTTGACCTCCACAAGGAGGGCAGCACAGGCAGGACATCAGAGCACATTACGGCTACCATCAGCCTGCCCTGTGCTCAAATTCCAGCTGCGGTTCAGTGCTTTTCAACACGTAGATCTGTGCTCTAAATAACCAGATCGGTATCATCACCCACATTTTATAGAGGGAAGTGGAGTCAGCAGGGCAAAGTGACCCAACTATGCTCTTCTTGCAACCAAAGACAGGCTCAGGAGGCTCAGGGTTCACTGCATATTGCCAGCATGCCCCTCTCTGCTGCCTGCTTGGAAGAGCCCAGCAGCTCAGGCCAGCCTGTTTGCTAGCTGGGGCATGCTTCAAGGAGCCACTGGCACCCTTCCCAGTGTTCAAACACATGGCATTAGTCTAGTTGGGTTTACTGGATAAATGTGTATTTTAAGGTCAGGTAGAAACATCCACAGCTCCAAAATTCAGCTTCTGAACCTGTTCTCCCACTGTGCGCTTACGAGACACTAAGGTTTATCCCTCAGGTATGGAGAAAACAAACAGGAAGCCTGGGATCAGTTTTAACGTACTGAAAATGAACTTCTCAGTGTTCTCTGCCACTATTCCTCATTATATAGTTTAGATGAACTTTTCAGATAACCAAGTTTGAAAACAAGCCCACTAGAGCCTGGAATTTTTCCCATCCTAAGACGCTACAGAAGCAGGCACAGTTCAAAGGCCAACAATCACAGACAGCACTGTGGGTGCATTAGTAGGAAGCATCAGCTGCTGTTACCTTCCTGTTCTGAAACACTCAGACACCCTCAGGATGGATAATCAGGGCCACCCACCAGCAAAAGCTGCGGTCCCTCCGCAGACACAATTCCTTCGTGCAGAATTACGACCAGAGCACTTCATCCCAAACAGTTCAAGACTCTTGGTTAAGGACAAACTCACCAATCACGCCGCTGGTGTCAAGAAACAAGTGAAAAAAATACAGCTCTTATTTCACAGCCTGTACCCTGTATCATGCTCTGTCCTCCTTCCTCCATGCTTTGGCAACAAGCTCAGGTGACAGAACGCTGCATTTTTCAAGGAGACAGTCTGCAGACACTGCATGGCTGAGGTTGCTCTGTTCATCCGTGACTATAACGGGGTTTTCCAGGCTTTCAAAAGATGCTTATTGCTCTACTGTCTTCACGTTTCTTCCAAACTTTCACAAGGACACAATGAAAAATAATTCTATTAAATGTACTGAAGCTACCACATACTTCATTTTCAATTATAAAAGCTGCCTTCTCAGCTGAAACCTGCTGGACAAATGAGAATTAAGCAACTAGTTTAATGTATATTCTGGCTGTGTTCCTAAATCCTAAAAGCACCGATACATAAAAATAAAATTAAATTCCCTATTTCCCAGTGCATAAAAAAAATTAAATTTTACAGTAAAATTTGTTCTCTCCGTTATTTAATTAAATTAGAAAGTACTGCGTTTCATAAGTCTGCATCTTTATACCAGAAAAACAAACAAAACTCTGATCAGGTTTTAACTCTGTCAGTGATGTTTTCCTCACCCATCTCTTACCTTCCCCCCATCTCAATAACCCCAACACCAGCACTTGGCTGAGCTGCAGACCTGCATGCTTTAACTGAACGTTGGGAAATTACTCATACACCACTTGCATAAGTGAACTTGTGTGAAACAGCCTGAATGAGGACAGCAGACAAGAGATGTTTTCCCCACCAGTTAGAAGACATGGCAAGAAGGCACAGGTTTGCAGTTTCCATCTTACAGCAAAGACCATTATCAGTGCTTCATGCCCTGAACTGATCAGCAGTTAACCCTGCAGCAGTATGAAAGAAGGCTTCAAAGGCATCAGGGGAAGAAACGTTACTTTTTCACTTGGTATTGGGAAGGAAGAAGTGGTTTAGATCAGCTTCACTTTTAGCAGAAAAAGGGTGGGGTGAAAGCAGCAGACAGAAAACGTTTACGATGTGGTTGTCACAAAAACTCTATTGCCAACCTCAGGCAGCAACGGAAGACAGAAATGGTACAGCAATCCTCCCAGAGTGGGACAGGAAAGATTCTGGAGAAAAATGTTATTTTACATCAAGTTTCAGCTGAAGTCAAGGTAAGCCCATCACACACCACAATTCCTCTCCCTCCTACCGAGCTGGCACTGAGCAATTGCCAGCTACACCACTTGGTCATTCCAGTGCTGGGTGGCATCGTCAGAATGACACTGCAAGAGATTTCCACTTATTAGCATGGGTGGCCCGAAAGGAAGAGAGATTACAGATCTGCAGAGATGAAATCATTCAAAAGAAACAAAACAGAATTTGCAAGAGTCTGTCAAACAATGCTAACACAATGGCCGTGACAAATGAAACTCACAGAGTAAGATTTCGTAATTAAAGTTCATTTATTTCTTCACTTTTTTTTCCTTAATACAAAGCTTTGGCATCAGCAAATTTTTATGAAAAAATAGGATGTACTAAATAAACGCTTGTGCTGCACGATCGATAAATGAAGCATAAAAATAGGTGTCTCTCCCCAAGGCAATCATCCGGAAAGCACTTCTTCAATACCATTCTGCTCTGTGGGGCACAAAAAAAGGTACAGAATATTTATGTTACAGTTAGCACTGTCAATACTCAAAAAATAAAATCCTGCAAGAGGAAGTTAGAGAGAAATAGCTAATTGCACAGTGCTGGAGCATTGGAAAGGCTCACTCCTACACCTTGCAATGCTTGCCCTTCCCATAAAAAGAGCCAATCAAGCAGTAGGCAACAAAAGGAGTTGCAACAGAAAGTAGAAATGCAACTCCCATGAGAACCCACATCTGGTGGATACAACAGACTACGATTCCTTTGTCTTCCTCCTAGCGATGTGGAAATACCAGGGACACAGATATTCCTGTTCCACATGCACACAGCTTATCTTCCTCCATGCTTTCCCAAGCTGCTCTGGGGTGCAGATTAGCAACATTCAGCTACAGCTAAGGTGTCAGCTTGCACACAGTTGGTTGCAACCTCAAGAATTTGACATGTGAAAAAAAACCCCCAAAAAAACCAGCCAGAATATTTGAATAGGCTATTTGAAGATCTAAAACTTTTCCCCATTAAGCTTTTTTGGAATTAGATTCTCCAAAGAAGAGAAAGAGTCACAGATTAGCAGAATGTGAAAAACTCTGATAACCTCAAAGAAGTTGCACTACTTTCCTAAAGATTAGCTTGAGACTGTCCAAAAATCCTACACTGGAGGCCACCAGACATCTTCCCATCCTGCTGAGAAGGGAACCTTAACACTTTTGTGGCTCTTTGGAAAGTATTTGTATTTATTTTTTTCCTCTCATCTCAAAACCAAGAAACTGGAATTATCTTTACAAAGCCATACTTCCATACTGCACAGGGGAGCCTGCCTTCCAATATATCTCTGCATCTAGATCACAAGTCCAGATGTTCTGTACACCTCAAACAAGAACAGCCAGCTCTACCTAGCTCATGCATCTGCAGAACACATTTATACTTGCCCACACACAGAACTATGAAGGAAGACTGGAAATCACATGATAATCATTTCTGGCCCAGCCTGTCTGAAGGGAAGCAGCAATGAGTCCATAAAAATTAAGAACGAATTGGTGTCTGTAAGCACTCCAGTGAGTGCAACTCTTAAGCATTTAAAATGAGAGGTCAGAAAACAGGTCAGCTCTACCCACACAAGATGCAAGAAATGGTTGCGAATCATTGCTTACATGATTCTCTCCTAAAAGTTATAAAATCATCTAAATATCTTTTTTTCTCAGCTGGAAGTGAGCTCACTGGGGGGAAAAAAGATTTATTTCATTTATTTCTTTTTAAAATATCAAATGACTCAGAAATTGAGGTGGGAACTGTCAGAGGTAACGGATGGCAGCAATTCCTGGTTCTGCTGGGTGAATTTTGAACACAGGGATTTAATGACAAACCCAACTCTTCCCCAGACCACTGATTAAAAAAAACCCAACACAACAGATCTACACACTCTCTTTTCACCCTCCCTCATCTGTACCTTGTGAGATCCCCTCAGACCATTCAGCTAACTAGATATTAAGGAGGAATTCAGATGTTACCCTGGAACCTACTGCTGGAGGCTTACATTTGAGAAAGGCAGAAAAGGCATTTGTCATTTTGATAAGTGCATATTCATATATATACACACACATAATTCCTTGTTTTGTTCTCATGGTATTCCTTCCCAACGTTGCCTGTGACACAAACCCACCACAAACGTACAGAAACAGCCAAATGTTTACTTACTCATTAGCATTCAAGCTAGCTGTGGCTTTGATGATCATGTAGCAGAGTGTAAGGGCACTGAGGAGGCCAAAACTGGCAATAATAAACCATTCTTCTGTTGACAAAGGAAAGGGAGGAAATCACTCGTGGGAGAAGGCTTATGTCAAAGCGATGCCAACATTCCCCTCAAACACCACTGGCGGAAGGCAAAGGGCTTCTAAGCCACGAGTGGCACCAGGAAGCGAAGCAGAAGGAGGTTAGCCACAGAGCTACTGACGGGAGAAGGCTAGCAAAGAAGAAGTGGAGAGAGGTGTGGAAAACAAGCATGGCACAACAACATCTCCTGGCTGAGCCCCAGGATTGGCGATAAAGAAAGATTACAGTGTGAAGGGAAATGTGGGAACGAGGGAAAAATGTAATGAAATCTCAGTCCACCCCCAGGTCAGGAGGTGGACTGTTATGGTTGGTTGGGGTTTGCTGAGATGTGTCTCTTCACATAAGCATTTACTTTCACACTTCACTTGTGTCTTCACCCCCTCCCTCCTCAATAAATGCCACGTTACTTTTAAAATAAATAAGATAAGATCACTTATTTGACAGTAAAACAACTACAGTTTTCCACATAATAGACAGAAAAACAACAGGAAATATAATTTCAAGGTTAGTATGTAAGTACAGACATTAAAAACATAAAGATGACTATTAAAGAATGTTCTCTACTCAAAGTTCTCTCCTGGAGATGAATTTAGCACATAGTAACACAGTGAAACACAAACACCTTTGTGAATATGGCTTTTGGTTTAACTTATATGCATCAAAAAAATGTGTCATCCACGAAATCTAAACATTTCAACAGCCTTTTCTAAAGCGTTATTTGATAAACACTGTCAGCATGAGCTCTTGCTGACATTTCTCATTTTATCCTGGCATCCCATCTGTCAAGGTAAGTGCTATGGTTGGGAACAGAGAGCAAAAGCACCTTCTGTAAAACCAAGCAGTTGAAATTGCAGTTAAACTGCAGAGTTTTCCCATCCATGACAACAGAAAGAGCATACAAACAGCCTTGGTGTCTGTTCAAACTGTTCAACACAACTGAAAACACAATGAATGACAAGTTGAACTGCAGGTCAAAGTGACATACTGGTTTGGGAAAGGATCTAGATTACACGTTCGGATTTCTCCTTCTCAGATCAAGACATTTCTAGTCCTGGGCTCTGCGTTCTGTGAGATGAGGTTCCTTTAGTAACATTTACCTTGCTCAAGTGTCTGAAGAGACACTCTGTAACGGACTGCATCAGTTACACTGCTTTTACTAGCAGTGGATAGCAGCACTGGCTTCAAGTCCAGATTTTAGATGCACATAAGGGAAGTACAAGGAGTAAACTAGACTGAATGAATTCTATTTCTGCAGTTCAGACAGAAGAGCAACCATTCATGTATCAAATCAAGATTCCATTGCATACAGAAAAATGATATAATTCCACATAATGTTTTTGTTACAGAGCCATTATATAATAAAACTCCAGGTAAAATCCAGTCAGTGCATATTTCCCATGCTGTAAGCCCTTACCCATAGGAACAAGTACAGCAGGAATAGTATCCTGAGGTCATATGACACTTGGACAATACTCAAATGTTGATATGTCAAAACCAGGTTTTTTTAATACAAAAACTTTGTGAGAAAAGCCATCTGCTAAGGGACACCAGAATTCCAGCAGTAATGCTGTCAGGAGGAAAAAAAAAGACTGCAGAAGTAATAACTGGCTAAGATGTTTACACACGTATAAATTATTGGATGTCTTTTGGAAATGGTTTTGGCAACCCAGCTTACACTGATCACCGAATTCAGGAGGGCTGTTCTGCTGCCATTTTAGTTCACCCTTTGTTCTTTGTATGCATTTCTAAATGGATACACGATTAATAATGGAAGTGCTGGCACTGCTGCAGGCAGCTTTGGTTTGGAGTGCCCAGGGACACCGAGCTCACCTCTGTTTCTGCAGGAAGACCTTTTATCACAGCCCTGCAGCACAGAGGAGAGCAAAGCAAGAGCCCCGTCCCAGGAAAGCCGTAGAAAAGTAACAGAAGCCAAAGCAAACTTACTTGTTACAGCAATGTTGATCTCTCCCGACCTCGGAGTGAGCTCCCCATCCTGGGGAAGCTGTGACATGCCGGAGGTGCGCAGGGGCTCCAGGCTCAGGGAGCTGTCGTTGGCGAAGTCGCCGAGCGCTGAGCGCCTGCTGGCAGGCTGGCTTCTGCTGAGCCTCTCCATGTCAAAGGCCACGTTATCTGTGCACGGCACATTGGGCTGAAAAACACAGCGATCCCTCTTTACAGGGAGGAACACTCTACATGCAATGATCCCGTAAGGATAAGCGCACAAACGCCTCATTTTGCTGCTGCAGCTCAGCTGCCTTTGGATCACAGGGTAGAAACGTGAACAGACGAGCTCTTCCCTTTTTCTTTTACTTCTTTCCTCGAAAAAACACTGCTCCTACCTGACAGTTCTTTACTTATATGGGAAAAACACGAAAAATCCTCTTTGAGCTTTTTTTTAAGTCTATTCCCTTGCGAATCAGTCAACAAAAGCAGTACTCTGAGATTCTATGTGCCAAGGGCTGGTTAATGCACAACCAAGGAAAGGCTGCTGGCCTCGGCCATGGCGCTCTGCAGCTCTGGGCATGGATTTAACGTGCCAACAGATCTGAGAGCATCTACAGGAGAGCACAGTAAGAACAAGAGCTTAGAGAGAAAACAAAGGAAGACTGAAAGAATTTGAGAAAAGGGAAGACTATAGAGAAAGCAGTAGATTTACAACAGATTAAGAATCTAAATTCTAAATAGGAACACTATAGAATATTCTTAATAATCATCTAGGGGAAGAAACAATCACTAAAAATGAACTTTATCAGCAGCACAAAAAACCTGGTAACTAATGGCAACACAGCCCCAGACCCTTCTGACTAAGAGCACTGGAACATCCTTCATCTTTTCTGCTCTGAAGACATTCCTTCTGCTCTGAGTCTCAGAGATGGAAGGGAGAAGAGCTTGTTCAGTCCAACTTACCACAATTCCCAGGGCCTTCAAAATGTTCAGTTTACACATTGGACACGTACAGTGCTCACTGAGCCACGGGTCCACGCAGGCTTTGTGAAAAACATGCCTAGGAGAACAGACAAGGCACATATATAACTCGCAAACCATTATACTACGTCATGAGAACTACTTTGATGCACTTCTAAATTGTTTCTTCAAGTCAGCAGGACAAATTCTGGAATTACCAGCAAGTTGTGCTAACTGCAGTAAAAAAAAAAAAAAAAGAAATAAAAACCTGAAGCTCTTGCTACCAGTTACAATCTCCATTTCCAAGCAGAACCTGGTGCTGAATCAGGAAAGAGGACTGCAGATCCACCAGGAGTCAGTTTCATTTAAAAGCCAACACTAAAGTACTTAGGTTTGATGCTGTAAGTGCTTTATAATTAGCACATCTAAGTGAAGAGAACAAGGTTTTGAAAGGCTTCTGCCTACAATTAGCATTGCTTGATATCTGTAAGGAAATTAGCAAGGAAAACATGCCCATCATACCACGGCCACAGGAAACCAAAATCTTTCAGAAACAGAAATGGCAAGAGGAGCTTCTGTTTGCACAGCAGGAGCTCTGCATTGGTTTACACCATCTGAGTCACATCCACAGTACAGACGTAACTGCATTGGATGGGTACAAACCAATAGAACACGGAAGGACTATGCAGACTGCAACATGCCTACCCTAAAGAAGTTAAATCAACCCTCCTGCTGGCTTTCCAAGATGAGCAGAAGCTTTCAGCACATACTCAGGAAAAGGTACTGCTGGACTTGACGCGAGTCAGAATTAGAAAATGCTCATGGCTGCCCAGGCTGAATGGCTGCCTATGATAAGAGCACACACTGAGGAACGTGTTGGACTGCTCTGTCAAGCACATTTAGCAATGTAGCCTTTAGCAATGCAGCCATCATGAAGAACAGGAGAGGTATATTGTCTACAGTTTAAATACTTGCACAAAATACAAGTGTCTCCCATTATTAGTTCTTAGCAGATTCCCTTATTACTCACAGAACTTCAAACTGTGTTTAGAAGTCCTGGGTGACAGAAAATGGTTTGAAATCTTCTGAAACACACAATGATGCCATTTTTCTGCATTGGGAAATTGCGGCTTTTAGTTGCTTATATTTCCTTTTAAAATTCTCAAAGGCTGTCTCTGAGAGCAGGACAAAACCCAGAACAGCAGACAGTGGGACTCCACCAAGCAGGAAAACAGCTTTAATATGTCGTTATCAGCTAATCAGGGCTGCAGAAGCACTCAGATCAAGCAAAGCAGGATACCCATATGGATGCCAGCACGGGTCCACTAAATGTTACACGTTCTTTTCAAGTCATTAGCAGTTTGACAGAGTTCAAATGCACCAGGACAGTTCAACTCTTCTGGCAACCTCTTTATTCTTTGCTTTTAGCTCCTAAGCCTTCTAGGACATTTATTAATGCATTTCAAAAAAGAGCAGTGCCCCCAGGGTTATTTATTGATTTAGATCAGCGTGGCTCAGCCTACTACTTACGCTGTGTCTCTGTTGCTTAAGCAGCTTACTGATACCATCATCATGGCTCGGGCTCTGTCTGGCTTTCTCTTACAAAAGTTAAAGCAGTTACACAGCAACTAAGACAATAAACACGTGAATTATTTTTTAAATTAGTCTGACAAAGTGAGCCCTTGCATTTTCTGCCATCATAAACCTTCTCCATCTTTATCCCTCTGTCACTTGGTCAATAGCAAGCTATCCAAGACCATAAATCTCAGCTCCCAGCAAGCTGCCCTGGGTCACAGCTGTAGACGATGCTCCTGCAGGAGCCATGTGTCTGGGAGCAGTGTGACACAGCTGCAACACCCAGCCAGCAGCACTGCAAGAGCCTCCCATGCGGGCAGGGCTCCAAACAGGTGAGCTGCAGGTATTTTTCCGCTCTGTCAGCATGCCTAGGAAACACCATAACCCTCTGTTGTGCCACACAGCCTCATAAATGCTTGGGATTGCAAGGGGCAGAAGGACAGCCATTGCCATGGGTAGCAGAAATGCTGCTGGAAGGACAGCAGGGAGTGTGACGTTGCTGCTTTTTCAGCAGCATAGAATCAGACACAGGTGAATGTGGCTTAGTCACTTTCGCCACTTGCTGCCCCCATTTTGCCCAGGGCAGGAAATAGTAAGAATTAGGCTTAAAACTCATTTATTTTAGCACAGTCAATATTCAGCCTCATCCTACCTAAGAGCTTGCTGCTCTTTATAAGCACAGCGATCTTCCTTCCCAGACCATCTCTTGCCCTTTCCAATGTTTCTGTGCTTTTCTTCAGTTCATCACTTCACTGTCACCCTCCCTTATCTCTTATCTCTACCTTTCCTTCACACTACCTTTTTCCTGATCACTGTTAACCCAGTGCCCATCGTTTCCCAGATGCTGTGTGATGCTGAAGTGGAACAATCTGTTTAAAGAACACTATCCAGAAGGCTCGACTTCAGCTACATTCCTTCCAATGTTTGCATCCACTGCTTATTCTAACTCATAAAACGTTATTCACAGAAGACAGAACTGCACTTCAGTTCTCTAAGTCCAGGGAAGAGGGCTACCTTACCCCTGCGCATGAAAAGCTGTAGGTATGGATTTAATGATCCTGATGGGTCCCTTCCAATTCAGGACGTTTTGTGACCATACGCTGCTCGTACTGGACATATTTCTTTCCGAAGAACAACACGAATGACTGCAAATACTGCACTAGAGTTTCTATCATTTTCATCAGCTGTATGTCTGTCCAAACCAGACACCTCTCCATAGAGATAGCGTGACAGACCATACTTAACTGGAGAGAACAGTTCTTGTATCAAAGGGAAGCACCACTTTTCAATCAATATGTCAGCGATTCCTACTGTCTAATGATTATAGCTTCCTCAAAACACACAGTAAGGACTGCTAGCCCTTCATTTGCTTCCTCTTGGTTGATCCCTTTTCTCCGTGAGAAATTTATTTTCTCATCCACCTTTGAGATTCTCCTCTTTTTTTTTTTTTATACTAGGTTTGCATGTTGCACCAAAAAGGAGACGTCAAAATGTCAGGAAGTAGAAAGGGGTTAAATCTCTAAAACAAGACGTGAGGAGACGCACCTCAGTAGACTGAGAAGTTTTATATGCAATCTGAAATTCATCTGGCTTATCTCTGCAGGCACTGGTTGCCCCTTCGCTCATTCTACAAGTGTAAAAAAAATCTTTTAGAAAGTATCCATCCCAATGTTCCATCTAACCAAGCGAGGTCTGCGCTTAACTCAAAGCTGAACTGAAGCAGATGAAAAGTGAGATTTCAAAAAGAGAACTAGAAAGTGAACATGAAAGTCACTGCGCAGCCTTCAGCAGGAATGCAGTCAGAGCCTTCCCTGACCTTATATTCTTTTGAAAAGCAGAACAGAAAAGGAACTGTGGAAAAGGCTGAATGGGGCATAGCAAGGAGGGGAGCTGTGCATAGGCAGCAGCCAGGTGCAGCCCCCAGCTCCCTGCAGCAGCTGTGACCAGGGGGCTCTGCCTGCAGCACCATGGCTTGCAGCAGGCATCTGAAGAAAATGGACTTGTAAAATGAATACACAATCATCCTGCTCAAAAGGTCTGTGTCACATCTGCTGACACTAGCAAGACATCTGCGGCTTGGGCAGTGCTGGGCACTTATCTAGTGAAGTGGCCTTCAGACTCCATTTTGCTCTGTGCTCAGCAGTAGGAGATGGTTCCTCATCAACTGTGTGCTCTACATTGGCAAGGACCCCTCACTGACCTCTCCTCAGCATCAGAGACTGAGGAGTGGGATTTGTGAGCACCCACTGCAAACCCTTGAGTCTAAACCCTGAGTTCCATCCATCAGCCTTGTGGCTCAGAGCTGGTGAACAGTTTCCAGAAGTTTCTCCTCTGACTTCCAAACCTTCCTCATAAATGAAGGACTAGGGCATAACTCACACAGGCACACTCTACATGAGATCACAATATATGACAAAAGTGTCTCAAAACTCAACAGTTGGGAATATATTTTAACGGGCAGGAGGATGTCAGCTTTGAATGAGTAAAAATGATTGAACTGTAGGAAGAAATGGACACCCGTCTGCAAGATCCAACCCCCCCCAAACCCTCCTGAACTTCCAAATATTTTAATGGTAGTTTCTGTTTTTGTTGGGTACATTAACTAAACACAACACTACTGAGAACCTAAAGCAGTTCATTGTTTTCCCCACAGTCCAAGAAATAAAGAACAGAAAAAAGTAAAAACTAATTAAGCTTGGTTTCAGAATTAGAATACATACATATTTTGATTTGCTAAGATAGAAAATATTGTTTTCCTCTTAACATAATAGAAACTCATTATGAATTAGAATTAAAGATATCCAGCTACGCAGAGCAGCCCATAGGAAGATTCAGAAGACTGATAATGAGCTGCTACACACTGCTGCTGTGTGACCCAAGGTTGACTCCAACTCCATGACTGAGATGCTTCTAGTGCATCATGCACACACCAAATTACTGGGTCCTGGCTGTATATATGCAACATAACATGCATTTTTTTTTTGTGCATTGGGAGATAAGGAGAAAGCTCTGTATATCAGAACGCAAGGGAAAAATGACCTTGGTAATGCTTATGGCTACCAAAAATTACCCAATCACTGAAACCAACAACCACGAGGATAAGCACTTAAAAGCATCTAAGAGCAAATATCCCATAACTGAAGAATGGAAATGAACTGAAAACCTGTAGATGTCAAAAGGGCAAAAAAGAAATTGCTGTGTTTTAAGCACCAGTACAGAGCATGCAGCAAGCAGTAGTCCTCAAGCCAAGAATCCATTGCACTGGAGAGACCAAAGACAGAGAGCACAGCGGTTGATTGGTGTCAAATGAGGTACAAAGGCTGGAAAGACTGCATCTGCCTCCAGCACTATTTCGGAAAGCCGCAGCAGCACTGCACGGACACTGCACAGAATGCTGCTGCACCTTGTTCATCACACTTCTGTTTGTCTGCCTGCTGTTCCAGCCCTTAAACCTGCCCCAAACCTCAAATATAAGCAGCTCCACTGCTAACGCCTGAGCCACTCATCTGCAGACCTGGTTTCATACAGTCTAAAATAAAATGGCTGTTATTAGGACAGGAAATAGCTAACATACGTATCTAGAAATTACAGTGCATATTTAACATGAAATGAAGCAAAGGAGCAAGAAGGAAAAAACAGTTTCCAAACAAAGCAACTCTACTAGCTTACTTGCACGGTAAAATGCGAACAACATCGTTCTGCTTGTAACTCTCAATGCAGACAGCACAATGATCAAAGTCTGGGTCTGTCTCCTAAAACAAACAGAATGAAAATTCAAGTCAAGAGCTTTGGCTGTGACAAAGGTAAAAGTAATTGTAATTAGTACAAGAACCATGCTGTGTCAGAGCAAATATTACCAAGAAGACACAGAAATGATGGCAGGGTGGTTGCATTCCAACACGGCTCAGGAAAGAGAAGTATCTCATGCACACAAAACCATTCCCCTTCACTCGAAGCTGATAAGCGACCATATGAAACATCAGCTAAGATATTTACAATATCCAGTTGAATTCTTGTGGTACAAATAGTAGGGATTCCCCTATAGGAATCACCTCAGCTTTGAGGTAAAAAAAAAAAAAAAAAAAGGGTTGGGTTTTTTTTTTTAGGATAAGCTTTTTGGGAATTCTGCGTGCCAGCTAGCACACAAAACCACTCAGTCACAGCTGCCAGATGGAGCACAAGAAGTACTTAAGTGAGAAAAACTCCTTTGAAATGTGCAAACTTACAGCATACAGCAAGACCACGAGTTACACAAAACACTGTGCCATACGATAAGCAGTCTCCAACAAGGAGGGGAAGATCGGAACACCAGGGGAGAAAGGAAAAGCTGAAAAATACACTGTTTCCTCTAACAAAAATAAAACACGATGCCCACGTTTATCATGTTGAAATATCATTATACCTTATCTCCCTTCTTTACTGTCCTGGTTGTCAGTTTACCAACAGCTTTCTTGGCAGCATCTCCAAGGCGACGCTAATGAAGTGACAAAGGAGAGAACACAAATTAGCTCTGATAATCAAGCTTCATTACTGCCTGTTATAATGACTTATTTGGGCTCGATACTGCCACTGCAATAGACACTGACAGTGGGCCAACACTGCGATTAGCAGCATAAACAGCAAAGCCCACAGTTAAGAGATTTGTCAGGAAACAAAACAACTCAACAGCAGAGCACAGGAATGCACTCAGTGTGTGGGCAAAAAGCTCACACACTGCACAGGGCTCCGCAGAAGTCACCCAACACGTGTGACAAGCTAACTCATCCCAGCCTGTAGTACAGGAGCTGAAGCAATGTGCCCCCAAGTGATTTCTGTCATCATCCTCTCCTATTGCTTTTTATTCAGCATGCTAGAACATACTCTGCTCTCTTAGGCTTGAATTTTTTCTCCCCCCCCAAGCACAGACTGATCTTGTTCTGAGACATAACAGATCCTCAGCGTAACCTAGTTTATCCTGCCCTTACCTGAAACCACTGCTACCACACGAAGCACAAGTTTGTGGGTCATGAAATCTGAAAGATCTGATTTAGACCAGAATATAGCCAAAACGAATGCTGGTTTCAATATTAACCTCACTCTGACAGCAAAGGCCAAGCTGTTTTTTGCTGTTTGCAAAATGACCACCTCTGGGTGCACGCTGCCCTCCTGTGCAACCATCACCAGCTGCTGGCCTGTGGGTCCCAGGCACTGAGCAGCACAAAGCTCGCATCTTCTCGTATCAGGAGACTGGGTTTACATTTACTGGAAGAAAGGAAGTTCCCATGTTTTGTCTTTCACCCCTCTTGTACTGAACACTCTGCTTTTGAGAGAGACCAATTCTAAGAACATGAAATGCACATGCCAAAATTCCCCACGCAGCTTGGATGGAACAACCGTGCATTTCTTGTACCTACCTACCTCCTATACACTTGAAAAGCCAAGTTCTTCAACTACCTCGCCCCATATAAGCACTTCCTTTCTTCCCATATAAGCTAAGGCTGTTTTTATTGGAGAAACACAGAGGCCTCTGAAGGCCTTTACAGCAGTATGTACCAAATCAAGGACTGGCCAACTGCACCAACATTATTCTGGAACTACACAATTCAATTTTTGCTGTTGTCTCCACAGAAAAACAGCTCCTTCATTTCATGGGGATTTTTAGGACACCGATGCGTGAGGTATCTGGAGTACCATGCGGAACAGAGGTGGGACGGGGAAGCTCTTCGCCTCCTAAAGGAAGAAATCTCATCCTAACTTCAACACGTGAGAAACCAGTCAGTATAAGCAAATCTAAGCTGGGCATCCTGGAGCAAGCATATTGGCTCCAGCACTGAAAGACACAACACCGAAGACTGCTGAAATGATTATCATGCACAGCCAAAGTTGACTGCTAAGAGAGGAACAACGCTGAGAAGGCACGGCAGGGGCTTTCCGTGACCAACACCACCCACCTGAGTCACTGGGGGTAGCACATATAATTAGCCATGCTGCCTGTGTTTGTACTACGTGAAGTCTTCGAAAATCTCCTCCAACTGAGAAAGGATCAATCTCAGCAAAACTCTTCCAAAACACGTATTGTATTCTCACATGGAAGGAAATCTGCTAATGGCAACTTCCATCTCCATTCAAGAGATCCACCTTTTCCACCTTCTAATTTTAACAGGACGTTTTGAAATGCTAACCTTGGGGACACTGAGGATTTGCTGTTTGGTTAAGTTTTAGGGCATAGGCATGCAGCGTATGCTTGCTTTAAAACCCACATCAACCTCAATGGAAAAAGGGCACCAGTACATGCAAAGGAGTTTTGTACCTCGGTGGAAACGCACAAGAGTAACCATGTGAAATACCCATATCTACTTGCACTATCTATAAAACACAGCATGGTTTTGATGGTTTTTAATTTATTATTATTTTTTTTTTCTTAAACAGGTGCCTCCAGCCCCAAGCTGTGATCTTGTTTTTCAGTTAAAACAAGTTATTTCCCCACGCAGCCTTCTCTCTGAGAGAGCTTTCAAAGCTCTTCAAAAACAAGCCGGAGCCATCGCCACCTCCTCATCAAAGTTTAATAAGCTCAGCTTTTTAAACCACATCAAATTTTCATCAAGTTTCTCCTGAAAATCTAAAGAAAGAAGAAAGGTCACAAAAGCCCCCTCCCCACAGAGCAGCTGATTTGAGATGTTTGGAAGAAGCCTCAGACCGCTCAGGGGATGCAGCAGGCACAATTCAGCACTCCACAGACTCTCCTGGAGTCACAGTTCTATTTAAACTTCTACCGCCCCAAGGGACCACACCAAGTACCAGCCACAGCTCGGTCACTTCAGAATGACACCCCGAGGAAAATCTAACGGGACCGGCAGCATCAGATGCTATTTCCAGAAACTAGAAAGGAAATCCTTTGTCGCAGTTGAGGCTCTGTAATTCTGCGTTTGTTTTACGTTTGACAAAGCGCTGTCAAGAGCCAAAAGAGCTGCCCCACAGTTTGCCCTTAAAGGTCAGTCCTAAATCAGAGGAAGAGGGACAGCAGCTAGAGGTCAGCAGCTTTGTAAGGCACCCTTGACAGAGATGCACAGAGCCAAAGAGAGCAGTCACTTTTTTCCTCCTTTGCAATAAAAGCCAGGACACACTACTGAGACAGCAGGTCATTGAGTCCACGACAGTAAAACATTTACTTGTAAAGTTTAAGCCATATTTACACTGATGACTTCACTTATTCGAGACCTCTGGGCATGGGTGCATTTAATTCAGATCTAAGTTCTTACAATAACAGAGAAAAAGAATCAGAAAGGCACACTGGACAAAATATTACTTAGCATATATGACCAAGAGAATTAGGCAGTCCTTATCAAGTATCATCTTAAAGTTAAAGTCAGTGCAGAACACTAAGGAACTCTGTACCTTAGTTTTCTTACCCTAATATTCATTAATTTACAGTTTGGGAACAACAACTGAACTACCTCACTTATTACTAAAGCTAGCCTTAATAACAGATGGAATGAATAACATTAGCTTTGAACTCCACCACACCATATAAGCATAAGCACAATTTTTCACTCTCCATTTCCAACGTCCATTCCGAGAAAGCAATTCTCCACAGAATACTGTACACAGCAACAACAGCTCCAGAACACGGACAGGAAAAAACAAAATGCCCTTACCTGATTCCTATCACGTGCACTCGTGTACCTGATCTTCTGGATGAAGTAAAATATTAACCACGCTGAAGAAATTATCATCAAAACAATGAAAGATATTGACACAAAGACTAGGGAGCCCCGACTGAAGTTCTTTAGAGGAACACGGGAACCCACTGCTATGGCCATCAGGACAGAGATGTTCTTTTCCAAGTAATTCAGGATCTCCTTTACTTTTGATTCTGTAATCATTACAGCAACAATGTCTCCAGTTCCTATAAAAAGAGAACAAAAAATTAACTAACATTTAAAATCCACAGAGCATGATGCCAGTAAGATTTTCCATATGCAAAACCATTTGGTAAATAGTTTTATCCAAGTCATGTATGGCATACTGTGTGCTCAACTCAAGGCTCATCCTTCCAACCCAAGCTTTCCAGGTATGCCAACTGTTTGCAGCTGCACACGTGCTACCAGGTAACAGTGCTTCCCACACTACAACAACTGTGCACAGCCTGAACAGATCTTAAATCGTATACTTGGTCCAGATTGGAAGCTGTGATTACTTGAATAGGCAACTTAGAGAAAAAACACATTTGGAAGAGGAGCGGTGTCAGCATACACAGAGCTGAGCCGGGGGAGTTCGGAAAGTTCCCCGATGTGGTGATGAGGACATCACATGCACACAGACTGCCAAGGACCTACAGATCACAATTCCAAAGAAGCCAGAACTTCACCCCCACCACTTCCCATAGAAGCGGAAGTAGAACAAACAAGACTGGCTGGAAAGTGGAACAGAAATTAAAACTGAGCAGAATTATGAGAACTGATTTTATCATCCAACCAGAGACGTGCTTAATAAAGTAGCAAAGAGCTCCTGAGACAAAAAAAACTGGTGTGCCGTTCTTCCTCATCCAGATCTGTACTGAAATCCCTTCTCAAGATCTATTTTCAAGATGCTGGTGAAGGCTGCTCATCTGCTCCCTCCATCTGTCTGCACCAAATCACATTCCCTAAAAGAGGAACAGTAGAATGTGGATGATTTCAGCACTGCGTTCTGGCTTTGGAGCAGATTTGAGCCGGAGAACTTGGCGTGACAAGATCCTGTGTTAACAAAGGGGATTTCTTTTAAGTCCTTTCATCAGAACCCTATTTTTAAGAAGTTACTGTACCCAGAATATGAAGTACAAGAATAAAAAGAACAGAATCTTTGAAACTGAGGGCACAGTAAGTAAGGGTGACAAGTCCAAAACCACTCATTTCCCCCAAAAGGGAGCTTTGCTCGAGCTGCATAAGTTGTTTAAGTGTTACTCTGCTGCTCTTCCCATTCACAGAGACAAATAGTGACTGTTACAGTCACTGTCCTCAGTTTTCAGAGAGCGCTTCCAGTATACGCCTTAGAGCTGCCAGAACGCTCCTGACTTGTCCAGCTGAGAAGTCCTTGCACTTAATGACAGGACAAAAATCTTCCTTTCCTGCAATTTCAAGGTACTGTACATGGATGCAGCATGCACTCCTGCAGCTCGGATGATGCAAGATCAACCCAGAGCTGATAACTGCCTGATGCCCTCCCCAGGCGTCACTTCATTTCCTCACATCTCCTTCTGATAGCAAAGGCAGAGGGATTGTTTTCCCCAGGGCATATGTTGCACTATGCTTCCCCAGGAGGTATTATTTGGCCCACGGCATCACGTTCCTATCCAAGTATCAGCCAGAAGCTCTCAGCACAGCATCCTGACACGATTTATACAGCTACCCGTGAAGCAAAGCTGACTAAGATTTTCTGATACCAGTCCAGTTCCGCCTAAACTAAAAGCTGAAGCCTCCACCTATTCCCTGCTGCCTGGAGAATGTGACAAAGCTGACAATCTGCCACATGTTTTCTATAAGGCCCGGCACAAAGGGAACCTCTGGCATCTCTGCAAAGCCATTTGCATTCCAAACAACTCAGCTGCAAACAGCCCAAGTGCTACTGCTGCCTCTGACCCTGTGAGAGCCAAGGAGAATAGCACAGAAGAAAAATAAATTGTGCCTGCTTAACATCCTGAAACTCAGTGGAAACTGGGACTTGGTTTATCCGTATTCTTGTCAGGGGCATCACCCTAAATAATTATAGCAAGAGCTCCTTGCTTGAGAAGAATTGGGGGCAGGAGGAGGCACTGACTTATTTATTTTCAGCACCTTGAAATCTTGCATTTCTGAAACCTAAGCAGAAAAAAAAATCCTCAGGTGAATACAGACTAACAGCGCTTGAAGAAGTTAGAGTGTGGTCTTTATATAAATCTGCTGAAAACCAATGCTCTCCTGAGCAAAGAATGGTGCCCAACTAAAAGGAGCTGGAGCACTACAGTCAATGAACTACACAGCTAAGCAGGAAGAAGCTGGACAGACAGTACATCCCAGATAAATGTTGACACCTGCAAATATAAATCAGCTGCCATCATCCAATCCTAAACAGCTCTAACTTGCAATTTTACTATGTGCATACTTATTGGGATAGCTACACAACTCTATGTATGGAAAGGAAGTTGCAATTAATCATTAAGCCTGTGGAATACAACATCAAGACAGGAGATGAGAGAAGGATGCAGAAGGTGAGAAGATACTAGGAACAATGTAATGGGAACAAAGCAACAACCAGAAGTTTCCTGTAGACCTCTGTAGAGCACCACAGAGATTACTTTGCTGGCTCACCATATCTCCTAGCACTTTCAGAAAGTCAACTGAAAGTTGTCTCAAAGGAAGATTCCCAGTCTCACCACCAGCAAACAGTTGTCCTTGCCAATTTCTCTTTATGTTGATTCTCGACTGCCAGACACTTCTCTGAAGCTCCAAATACAGACAGCTGTGGGAAGGACACCAAGCTGCAGACAGACATGGTTCAAAGAGGGGACTTCAGGCACCTTCCACCCACCTATCGCCCCTGGGAACAGCAGGCAGACAAAACATAACTACCAAGCAGCAGATATTTGCTTTTCTCTTGGGTGCCCAAATGGCCTAAGCAGCTGCTTGGTCAAAGCTGTGGGAGAAGGGGTGGTGACAATTCCTGAGCTGCTGCCAGCACTGCAGTGCTGCAAAGAACCTCCTTGCAGACAGGGAAGGCAAATTTAAGATCCCAGCTCAAGAACAGCACGTGCAGGACCACCTGTAAAAGGCACTGAGTGGTTCTGATGGGACGAAAAAAGATCTGCAGAAAACTGAGAATTAACCCACTTGCACCAAAAAGGTGAGCACTTTTCTGAGGGCTGCTGTTTTCAGCTAAAGTCTTTGTAACTTCCTTAGCCTTTAACTGCACTTGCTGATGCATGTTGCAGACACACCATGAAGCACAGACTGCACTCAGCTCACACTTGCAAAACAACGTTGTTCTCTCTTTAAGTAGCAAAAAACATTTAATTGTAACTGAAGCATTGCACTCTGTTCTGAAAAACCCAAACTCCACACACATCTATCTGACACATTTTGCAGATGTCAGTTACAAAGGCCTGCAAAACCCCCAACTTTCTAATAAAAGTAAAGAACAGTGCAGACAGTTGCTTTCTGGCTGGGTTCAGGGTGTGATTCAGACACTAAAAGCCAAATCACAATGACAGAGACACCATAATGATCACGTTAATTAGGAACTGCCTGTTTTCACAAACCATTAAAATTCAATAACCTCTTAAAGCGTTTCTGAACACGCATCAGAAATGAACACATGCACACTGTTCAGCGTGCAGGAAAGGGATCAACCTGTGCCAGATTTCTTAGATTAAAAAGACAGACCACCACAAACAGCAGCTACCCAGTAGGTCTGGTGGAGCACACCTGACCAAGTGATTACAGACCTCCAGTGGCCCTTCCAAGCCACGCTCAGTGATATTTTAGACATACTTGCACTAGAATAAAAACTGACCATACTTGTGAACTCCAGTGATCCACATGGAAAACACTACCACCATGGTCTACATCTTGGCTACTACAAGCAGTGAGTTGATGAAATCACTGTGAGCAAGTTCCAAGACTCCTGTGAAACAACCTTGCAGAGGCAAACACAAAACCAGAAACTTATAAACAAAGGAAGAATGTAACTGCTTCCCCTCCACCCCCATTCCCCAGGAGAAAACCTCAAAGTAGTTTTTTGATTTGAAGGACGCTTGCTCTTCTTCTATCCCCAAGGAATAGAATACAACTGTCAGAGAAGGTTATCTAAAAAGTCCCGTCTGCAAGAAAGATGACAACTGTGGAAATTAACACAACTCTGCGAACTCACCGGCCAGCAATAATAGAATTTGGGGGCCCACCAAACATTAAAGGAGAAAACAGGAAACACAAAACAAGCACTGTTGTTATTAATGAAGCTTTGAGAGACTGAGTGGGAATTTTTTTGAATGTCCCTGAAGACATCTGCACTGAGATGGAGGAGAGGGAAGGAGAGGACACTGCGCTGAAGACAGCAAAGGACACGTGGAAAGGGCGGCCCCCCAGCCACCAAATAAATAAAACAAATGAACACACCATCAGAAACAAATGAAAAGCAGGAACAAGGAATCCAACTACAAGTCAGAGGAAAAGCAATTAAAGAAAAGCAGAAAGTAATGACAAAGTTGACACAAAGGGATATGCTGATAGTCACAGAAAGGTCTTACTGCTCATTTAAGGGTGACACTTCCAAGCTCAGGCTTATATCTATGTTAGAAAATCAACCTCATCACAATGAAAATAACTCTACATGTTAGCACTGCTAGACAAGGTGGGCTCTGAGAATGCACATCAGTTCCACAGTACTTACCAACAATGGGGAACACACAAATTCTTCAGGTATTTTAAAATTTTAGCCTGATACAAACCAGAAATTCATTGTAAGAATGAAGTCTTATATTCTAAAACAGTCTTTGTAAAAGCAGACAGCAAAAAGAAGAGTCTTGGCATATGGGCACAGTGATTAACACAGGTCAAGCTGCACAGGTTTTTATTTTGATCTAATCAGAAAGGAAGAGCACACCCAGAGCAGCAGCACCACTGCAATGGTAATATGTTGTCTGAGATGCCCCAAATCAAATTCTTCTGAAAACAGAAACAAAACCATAGTATTTGTCAGTTCTCAGTCCTAAACAAGGCAAGAACTTAATGCCAACGGGCATCCATTTTAAAATGAGACCGAACAGCATTTCAAAGCATTTTTCTTCCGGTTGTCTTTATAACACTGTAAGCATTGAATTCTTGACTATATATGTAAACATTTACTGCAGGATATCTGATTTACACAGTGTCAGACACCAGAACAGATGTTCCA